TTTAGCTTGGAAAGCGGGGAGAATGGCGCTAGGCTTACCGCACCGTGACGTCACTGCTGGAAGATGGCAGGAGGGAGGGGCTACTATATTTGGGCAAAAATGGCCGCCCCCAGACTCAGTGATTGCAATGAAAATGATTATTTTTCTACTGATTAACTCTAAATTCATTAAATCACCGTGAACATATTAGTTTTAGGTATAAATAATGATCCATCGATTATTCCTTGATGACTTTTCCATTAACTTTTAGAACTTCTAATTTCTTGTTGGTATCTCCTGGATCAGCATCTAACCATCTTCCAGCCATGCCTGTTATCTGCTTCATATAAAGCTCCCTTTAGCTTCACTGTCCGATCCTCCATCTGACAGGGACAGACTCTACATGGAAGATTTCAACTGGATTTTACTCAGTGAGCCGCCTTTAGGTTATTTAATTGACATTAATTGACTTTTATCAAGGCGTCTTGGATGATGAATCAACAGTTAGGAGTTAAAGGAAAAGAAAACGGAAATGCAGTCATTACTTCATTGCCTTCTTTGTTATTTTTTAACAGGTCTGGCTGTTTATCCGAACTCTGTAAATCTATGAATCAGGAACAGATTCATAGTTTTCAAATTCACTTTGCAACACCAAGCCCAACATGCTCCACTTTCTCATTGTCTTTGCAAAAATCAACACAAATCAGTGAATTTCACTGTTTTATTTTTTCCCTTTTGAACAAAAACTGGTTAAATTTGAACCCTGCTTCCTTTTTCACTGAAGGTTAGTTTTCAGCTGACGAAGCTTTGAGTTTCTCTGCAGGTCGGGGAGGTTTGGAGCGAGATTAACAGCGAACTGGTCCTGGAAGGCGTGAAGCCCATCGGCTCGGACGAAAGAGCTCTGAGCTCCATCTGTTGGACAACAGAGGACACGGCGAGGAGGATCATGGAGGAACAATCCTGCATCCTGAAGGAGCAGGAGGAGGAGGAGATCAGGGAGGAGATGCTCTTCTACACAGAGGTGCTGAAGATCTGTTAAAATGCTCCTTCCAGCCTTCCTTCTGACTCCTGTCCTGTGAAGCTTTTTAGTGTCATTTTGTCTTTATTGTCATGAACCAGACTCGTTTTTTTTTTTTTAATGTCAGATGAAGTCTCACCGGAAACAGCAGGAGCTCGAAACGTCCTCAGAACCTCAAAGCTGAAGAATGAGGACTCTGCAGCTGATCGCTCTGCAAAGGTCTAACACCAAAACCCTCCTTAAACCTGCTTTCAACTTAACCTTTCCTGGTTCTAAGAACCTTTCTATGTGGATCCAGTTTAATCGCGTCACATAAAACCCAGTTTCCTATAGTTTCCTATTGGTCCACGGAGCTTTTGGAAAGGTTTGAGTGTTTGTCCTCTTTTCCCCACTAGAGGGCTGTATGCTGGCGAAGAGTCTCAGTCATCCAGGTCATAGTCGTCCAAAAAAAGTAAAAAAAAAAAAAAACAATCCACTGGACTTTGTTTCCAAGTTTGAAGATGTTTCGCTTCCCATCCAGGAAGCTTTTTCTACTCAGAAGTGTCAGGATTTGGTGTTTGATTGAGGACCCTTGCAGAG